ATCCTGTAGATGATCTGACACCCGCGACACATTAAACAACCTCCTACCATCGCTTGCCTAAAAGTAAAAAAAGAAAATTTTCTTTGGTTATATATTGGAAAAAAATAAAAATTCTAAGCGAAGATGGCATAAATTGATAGATAAGAGGTGCTTTGAAGGGTGTATGACCTGTGCATTAAGTCCAAAGGAAACCTTAGATGCAAGCCCATCTTTTCCATCAAGAATACCACTAGGAAATGGATTATCAGAAAAGGGACCAGACATCTCATTCTCCAAGAATGCATACATATAGCTTGGTCCTAGCGAATAAATGGCCTGAACTTGCTCCGTAGATAAGGAATCATTAAACAAGTAAATGGGACCGATCTGGCCAAAAAATGGGTACACATCTCTGATGGATTCCAGGCCTTCGTTATCTTGGATATGTGGCAACGTGATACTTGTACCAATGAAGCAGCTGGTAAGTACATCAGTAACTTTTGGATAGCTGAAACAAATATAACAAGGTCAAGTACTGTACAAACAGAAAAAAAAAAAAAAAAAGCACCAATATGACTTGTCAATCATTATACGGATATAACAAGAAGCCCTTGTCAATCATTAGTACCAAGAATCACCTGCATCTTTCAGACGACACTAGCTCCCCATCGACATAGCACCTCAGGAGACTACCACCCCAGAACGCTCTTCCAATACTATGAGAAACACAAATAAAATGCCATTTTTTACTGACCAAATTAGCATGCACATTTACACATTGCCGTTTCAGATTCAGTGACTGCAAAAAGGAAGAAAATTGTATAAGGGGAAGGTGTAAGAAATATGAAAGAATGAAAAGAAAAAGAAAATCAGAAAGGTCATGTCATTTGTCTTACAACATAAGACAATCCATCGTTCCCAATAGCAGCAAAGCAGCCCTTCCCATTTTTTGACATAAAACTGAAGATACCCATTTTCTTATCTCCATGAAAGCTTTCTACCCTAAGCCAACAGCAAAAGGAAAACCCCTTATTCACAGGCCAGTGAACGGGTGTTCTGATTACAATGCCCTGCGATTGAAAAATAATACAAAAGAGGTAAGAAAGTAAGAAACAAGAAAAAGTAAGAGTTTGTCTACTCACCAAGAAAAGTGTAACACTTAACCATCAATATCTCCGACAGAGTACCACCGTTTTTTTGTTTCAAAAATTCATAAGCTTTCCACCTTAACAAAGCCCCCAAGATGTCTAAACTTTTACCAATTAAATTTGCGGTATGTTCAAATACAGTTGCATAAATTAAACACTGGAAACTGACTTCATCCAAGCTTATACCAATTGATGAACTAGAACTTTATTTTAACAAATAGGAGTAGCACGAACATGCAGATATTATACATAGAAACTTTCTCAACTGGGACAAAGACTTACAGAATCAACTCCATTCATGTCAAAAAAGCCTGTTGGTCCTTTCTCATTCAGCATTGACAACAAACAAGCCAATAACAGGGAGCGAAATCTCTGTTGATTACCCACTCTTTCACTCCGAAGAAGAGCAAAGATCTTACGTATATCCTTCCCAGAAATACTGTGGCCACCAATTGTTCGAGTTAGCTGTGTTATTTTCATGATAACATTATCATTATCTTCCAGAGAAAACCAATCGAGAAGAAGGTTAAGCATTCCTGCCCGAACACATGAAGCACGATTTGATATGGAATCCCTAAGGAGTTGCTGAAACAAATTTAGGCCATAACACTGCAAAGACTCGCTGCTCTGCCAATTCATACAACTCCACAGTAAAAATACATCCCAAAACAAAATATTGTAAAACGCAAATCCAAGTAACAAGAATTGCACCAACCTTCTGAAGTACATTTAAGTAAAGTATGATAACATCTTCATTCTGAGTAGGAAAAAACAAAATAAACATGGAAGTAGAGTTAGCCACCATTAACTGAGTATGAAATATTTTAAAAAATTAAAAGGAAAAGAGAGATCATTAACTGATAAATTACGAAAACCACATCACCTTTATGAGAGCACTGCCTTTATCATCAAAATTGAGCCGGATATCATCAAGCGGAACCTTTTTCTCGCGCACATCTTCGTCTGGGACTCTGCCATACTCACTATAATCAGCTTCTGCTTCATCAATCTCACCATTGGTCCAATCGGTTGTTGGTCTTGGTTCATCTACGGGTTCATCGTCTGCATCATCGTATTCGTTTGCCTGTGCATCCCAATCTTCATCATCAGTAGACAAGCCCCACTCGCTATCCGATCCGACATTATCACCATCTGGTAAATCGCTTTTCGCAGTATTCATCCGCTTGCTCGAAACACTCAGCCGTATAACATGCAGTCGACTTAGTTCTACCAAGACTTGAACTTGCCTATCAGTCGTTACAAACGTAGGAGGAGAATCGATAGGTACCCCCTGGATAATATCAGCTGGCAAGTGGGTACGAAACCTCAATAAGCTCAGAATTCGAATCAACCCCATATTCATCGTTTGCCATTTCAACAAGCTCGCCATGGGTACAACCATCTCTCAATGAGAACAGTCTACCGCCCTTGTCGTCATCCACTACGAAGAACCAAGTCCCTTGCTCTCTCCTCTCCCATTTCCCGTAAACAGCCGCTACGTACACCATCTCCTGCGAAACAAATAACACAACGTCAATGAACGATTATAAGTACACTTCGATATGAAATCAACATGTAGACTTCATTGTGCAGTCTACTACATTTCACCTAGACTCCACCAAAAACTAAATATTTGATTACCTTCAAAATATAATGATTAAGCAAGTCAAATTGTTACACAGCCAAATAAACAGATAAAAACAACTTACTGTCCAAGAAAATCTTCAAAATTAGTTATTCATGTAGCACAAACACCTAATTTACAAAATGTAACAAAGTAGACTTCATGTAGAAATCTACATGTGGACTTCAGCAGGAAGTCAACTTAGGGGTATACTTTTGCAAGAATATTTTGGGAAGTCTACAATGGAAGTCAACAATTAGAGGGGTATACTTTTGCAATTGACCAAATCACGACTTTTTGAAATAGACTTCTTTTTCTAAAAGTAGACTTCCCTCTGAAGTCAACAGTGATAAGTAGACTTCAATAAGAAGTCAACAACAAAAAGTAGACGTCATATCGAAGTCTACTGCCAAAAGTTGACTTCGTAAAACAACGTTTGCAGTTGGTGTACCCCGAGTTACTATTCATTCGTTGACCAGTAGACTTCTTTTTGAAGAAGTAGACTTCACCGTGAAGTCTACGCTCAAAGTAGACTTCACGATGAAGTCTACACGTCAAAGTAGACTTCGCGGGGTAGTCTACAGACTAAAAAAGAAGTCTACATCAAAAAGTCGTGATTTGGTCAATTGCAAAAGTATACCCCTGATGCGTAGACTTCATATGTAGACGTCATTACCGAAAGTCGTCGTCAAGTCAATTGCAAAAGTATACCCCTCCCGAAAAATAGACTTCACAATGAAGTCTACACATGGGGTCCACCTTTTTTTGTTGTCAAAGGATTACTGTACACTTCTCAAGGAAGTCTAAAAATCCAAAAATATTTGAAGGCGTTTGCAGTTAGTGTACCCCGCGTTCACATGTAGACTTCTATATGAAGTCTACAACGCGCCGGAGATCTGAAATTCACGATAAACGAACGGAAAATCACCTTGATTTGCTGTTTGGTTGCGTCGACGGCGGATTGGTTCGATTTAAACCTTCAGCGGAGAAGCCCAGCCGTTGCCGTGAACTTCGTGACCGGAAATGGCATCATACAAGAACTTATATTTTTGAGAGATGGATTATAGAGTTTTTGTGATGAAATTGGAGAGAATAAGTTAGAGAAGAAGGTTACAAGAGCACATTGTGTGATTATGGTGGTGTAAAAGGGAAGAAGAAGCATTAAAAACCTTGGATATGGTTGAGAATGGTTGTTGGGTGAATTGAATTTGATGGCATTTCTGTGAATAAATGAAGGAGATGAGGTTAGTTTGGAAATTAGTAATTTCGAAAAAAATGGAAAAATAGAAAAGATGATGGCATTTTGGTATATATGATAAGAGGGTAAGGATGATATAGAGAGAAAGAGGTGTAAGTATTAGAGGGGTATACCAAAAGCATTGACCACAAATTGGGGTCTACTTTTGCAAACACCCCATATATTTTCTAGTGTATTTGTGGCAACCTGAAACGTGTTAAAAATTTTGATAGTTACTTTCATTGTTCACTACATGCAAAAAAATTAGTATACCTCTAGCATATCATGTTGATTTACAGTCTGGATATATTCTTATACTGCATTACAACTTTGTCAAAACTTCATGGTCGTTTAGTTTGATGATTAGAATCTTTAGATATCTTCATTTGACAAAATTCGGCATAAAATTGTATGTTTATATCGTAGATATCTTCATTTAACAGAACTTGGTATAATAAATCTTAGATATATTTATATGTTTTGTCCATTGCTTCATAAATTCGACATAAGAACATATCCAAAACATTTCCCTTTCCATAGTATGACAACATGTTAAATCTGAACCAAAACTTTTTCGGGTGAGTTGAATTAGAATCTTTTGAGAAATAACCTTATAGTTTCTGTTGTTGTTACTGGCCAAGAAATTTGAATTAATTTAGACTACACCAGCCTTTTGCTTTGGGTAGTCACAAAAGGAAACTGCATTTCTGATGAGGTATTGTTTCTTCGTTTTAGCGTTTAAATTCGTTTTGCTGACACTTAGAGTCGTTGTTTAGGGTGATTGTCTCAAGTTTTGCATATTTGCAGTCATTGTGACACTTTCAAAGTGAACTTGCATTATGGAGGAGTTATGGAGAGAAGCGGTGATAGAATGAGTTACATTGGAGGAGCTTTGAAGCAGGGCATTGTCGTTGATCCTGATTTCATAGACTGTTTTGATGCCTTCTGTGTGGAGTTTTCGATAGAAGGTGGTTTAGTGGAGTGAGTTTGGTGGAAGCTCCATCACGGGAGCATGGATACAATGAAGAGTATTGTTGTCGTGGGATCTGACAAAGAGCTTATGGGAATGTGTAGTCAAGCTATGTCAACTTCTCGTGAAGTTGATGTGTTCATCGAGCAAGGTAATGTTGTGCTTAGGCGCACCGAAGAGGAAAACGAAAAAGATGGTGAGAAAGATTGTGAGCATTCTGCTGAGGAGCATTTGGAGCAGTCTGCTGCTGCTGAAATTGAAAGCGAGAAGGCACCTTCTGCTGAGGAGAATGAAAGCGAGAAGGCTCCTTCTGCTGAGGAGAATGAAAGCGAGCCTGCTGAGAATGATCACGAGCCTGCTGCAGATGAAAGCGAGAAGGATCCTGGAAATGAAAGCGAGAATGATGGTGCAACGTA